TTTGTTACTATTCACTGTGTTATATCCCCTTGAGATTTCATATAGCATGTGATACTCTGTGTTGTCATATATATTTTGTGAAATATTTTCTTGGTACTTCTGGCTGAACTTAGACCCTCAAAAATTTTCTTGTGTTGATTAAAAATTTCAAATGACAACGGTAACGTTTGAACTTAGGATTTTTAATGGAAAAGGGGATTTCCCCATTTAACAGCAAAAATGAAAGGGGTTCTTGTTCAACAGAAAGTGTCTAAAGTAATAATTGGTGAATATCCTGATACTATGACTGGTGAACAAAAAACTGAATCTGATAAGCTTGTCCATACTTCCATTATTCTTCACTTATCTGATCAAGTATTAAGAAAGGTAGGAAAGTTAGATAAAACTAAGGCCTTATGGGAAAAATTGGAAGAACTTTATTTGGTTAAGTCATTGCCTAATAAAAATTTTCTTTTGGAAAGATTCTTTAGCTTCAAAATTGACATGTCCCGAGACTTAGATGATAACCTTGATACTTTAAATAAATTTGTAAAAGATATTACTAATGCTGGGGATAAAGTATCTAAAGAATACAAAGCTGTAATTTTCCTAAATTCCATACCTGGAGCTTATAAATATGTTAAGACTACTATTAAGTATGGTAAAGAGACTTTAACACCTGAGATAGTGATTAATGCTTTAAGAAGCAAAGAATTGGAAGTTAAATTTGAGAGACATGGCAAGGAGAGTGAGAATCCATTTGTAAGAGGTAGATCACTGTCTAGACAGAGTAATCATCATGGTAACCAACATAATTAGTGGAATAATGCCTCTAAGAAGAAGGGGAAGGGTAGACAAAGGTCAAAATCTAGAAATGGAGCTAGAAAAGGAAAAACATGGCATTACATTAAAGATTGCTTTAAAAAGAAAACTGAACAAAAAGATGTTAAAATTGATGAATGGAACATAGTTTAGCCTCTATGAGGATACTATTCATGTCTATGTTATGACTGAGTTCACATCTGATTTGAATTATGCAAATTATATAGATAATTCAAGTCAAAGTGTTGAGTGGATCTTAGATTCAGGTTGTACCTTTCATATGACCTCTAGAAAGCATTGGTTGCACGCCTTTAAGGACTTAGATGGAGGTAAGGTGGTTATGGGTAACAATGCTTCCTGTAAAGTGTTGGGGATATGTAGTGTGATTTTAAAATTTGATAATGGGTACACCTTTACCTTAGAAAGGGTGAGGTATGTACCAGATTTAAATAGAAATCTAATTTCAATTGGGAACTTAGATGCCATAGGTCTCCAAGGAAAATTTGGAGATGGTTTTCTGTAAATAGTTAAGGGATCCTTAGTTATTTTCAAGGGTATTAAAAGAAATGAGATCTATGTCACTAAGGCAAATGTGTCGAGTCACACGGCAGAATCCTCTATGGCTGAGAGTGATGCTACATTGAAATGTCATAATATGTTAGCCCATGTGAGTGAGAAAGGTTTACACATCTTAAGTAAGAAAGGTGCCTTTGATAGTGATGTGATTTCTAAAATTTCCTTTTGTGAATATTATACCTTAGGTAAAAAGCATAGACTTCACTTTAGTACAGGGAAACATAAGACTATATCTATCCTAGAGTATATACATTCTGATTTGTGGGGTCCATTATCCACCACCTCTCAAGGTGATAATAGGTATTTTTTATCCTTAATTGATGATTTTTTAAGAAAAGTATGGTTATTTATTTTGAAACAAAAATCAAACACTTTTGAAAAATTTAAAACTTGGAAAACTTTGATTAAAAATCAGATGGGTAAAAAGATTTAAATCTAAGAACAGATAATGGATTAGAATTTTTTAATGTTGACTTTGAAAAATTGTGTAAGGATGATGGTATTTTGAGACATAAAACAATACCATATACTCCACAATAGAATGGTATAACTAAGAGGCTAAATAGGACAATCTTCGATAAGATTAGGTGTATGATGTTTAGTTTAAGTGTTCCTAAAGTGTTGCAGGGAGAGGCTGTTATGACAGCAGTTTATGTCATAAATAGGACCCCAACTAGTGCATTAGATGATAGGACACCTGAGGAAGTGTGGACATGTAAGTTGGCTGACTATACGTACTTAAAAACCTTTGGTTGTGCAACATATTCACACCAAAGTGTTGGAAAACTTGAGCCTAGATCTTAGAAGTGTGTTTTCATGGAATATCCTGAAGGAGTGAAGGGGTACATGCTTTGGGTGAAAGAAATTGGGGGTTTTAAGATGATAACCAATAGAAATATAACCTTCAATGAAAATGAGATGCCTTGTTTAGATAGAAAGGCCTCTAGTGAGGTTTCTAAGGGTCGAGAAGAGGAGAATACTAGGTTGCAGGTGGAACTTGAACCTTCACCTGATCCTATTGTTGAAAATCAAGATGAAAATGAGATTGTGGAAGAATTAGGTGATGAAATTGTTCAAGAGCCTGCTGGTGAGTTAGCGAAATAAGAGATAGGGTTGGAAGAGAAATAAGAGAGCCTATTAGGATGCAAGGCTATATGTCACTTGCTATATTGTCATATTAGAATTTGACTTTTAAGGAGTTTAAATTTTATGAAGAGGCCATTAGTTGTTAGTTTTCTAAGGAATGACAGCTTGCTATGGAGGAAGAAATGAGGTCCTTAGTGAAAAATAAGACTGGAGCTTAGTGTCTAAACCTGAAAATAAATCTCTAGTTGACTATAAGTGGGTTTATGCGGTTAAAGAAGGCAATCCCCCCAATCAGCCCCTTAGATTTAAGGCTAGATTAGTGGTTAAGGGGTTTATTCAAAAATCTCGTATTGATTACAATGAAATATTTTCTCCTGTAGCGAAATGTACTACCATTAGAGTCATGCTTGCATTAGTTGCACGATATGATTATGAATTAGAGCAAATGGATGTTAAAACTACGTCTTCCATGGTGACCTTGATGAAACCATATATATTAGATAGCCACAAGGTTTTATTGATAACAAAAATTTCGATCATGTATGCCTGTTAAAAAGATCACTTTATGGCTTAAAACAATCTCCTAGGCAATGATACAATGCTTTGATAACTTTGTGTCTTCAGTTGGTTTTGTGAGAAGTTCTTTTGACTATTGCTTGTATTTTAAAAAGAATAACAACAATTGTGTGATTGTTTATTTGCTGTTATATGTGGATGATATGTTATTAATCGGCTAGAAATGAGTGATATAAATGAGATTAAAAAAGTGATAAGTGCTGAATTTGAAATGAAGGACCTAGGGCATGTTAAAAGGATTTTAGGGATGGATATTAAAAGGAATAGGTCACAGCAGTTGTTAATCTTATCACAAACTAATTATTTGAAAAAGGTGTTATCTAAGTTTGCTATGTATGATTCTAAATCTGTGACATTACCCCTTACATGCCATTTTAAGTTGAGTGAAGATCAACGTCCACATGATGAATATGACATTAAATATATGGAAAAGTGTCATATTCTAATGCTGTTGGATTTGTAATATACACCATGGTTTGCACCCGACCCGATGTTGCACATGCTATAAGTATCTTAAGTCGATTTATGTCCAACCCTAGCCCCGAACATTGGAGTGCAATGAAATGGTTATTAAAGTGCTTAAAAGGCTCAGCAGACTTAGGCTTATGTTTTAGACTTAGTAAAGAGAGAGTTAGCTCAAAGGGATATGTAGATTCTGATTATGCTGGTGATAAAGATAACAGGAAGTCCACTACAGCCTAATGTTTACTTTGTGTGACACTTGTATTAGTTGGAAGTCTCAATTGCAATCAATCGTAGCCTTATCAACTACAGAGGCTGAATATGTGGCTACTATTGAGGCCATTAAAGAGGCCTTATGGTTGAAAGGTCTCCTAAATGAGGTAAATGAATACGTTGATCATGTTGTTGTATATTCTGATAGTCAAAGTGTTATACATTTATGTAAAAATCCAATTTTTTTTATGAAAGAACTAAACATATAAATGTAAGAGTGCATTTTATAAGAATACAAAGGTACTTCCTCTAAATAAGTTTAAATCATGTTTGCAACTTTTAAGAATTGATACAGGGTAAACTTTGTGTTGGTGCAGGTATATTTGACTTGGTGCTGATGATATGGAAGAGTTATATCAATTGCTCATGAAGTCTATTGTTATAATTTCTTTTCCTTTGTGTGTTTTTTGATCATTGGCATCAATGAGGAGATTTATTGTCCTGTGATGCAATTTTTCTTGGCGGTCCAGCTCATCTGGGCTATGATGATAAATTGATCTAATAGATACTACTTAAGTCCTTGCCCAATAACGCACTGTGATGGACTCTTATGACTCGACTCAAAACATCTGACCCACACGTGTTGCTCTGGTCCATTTGATCTCCTAAACCTAACATCTACGGTGATGACCCATTAATATAAATTGTTGGTCTGAGACTTTTGGCCCTAATTTTTTGAGTCACTATTCTTGTGCCTCTTCATGAGTATTCTGTGGAATCTTTTGGGTCTCTCCTCTTCAAAACTTGGTGTCCCTGCCTCTTTTTCTTCTTCGTGAATCTCTTTCTTTAAACAATAAACCTTTGGTTTTCTGGTGATTCTGTGTGCACAAAGTCTTGGTGATTCTTCTGTTTTGGTTTGTGAAGAGTTTCTGTTGGTTTTGGAGAATCTCTCGTTCCATTGAAGTGACAGCCTCTGGGTCGGGGTTTAGGGCTGCGTCTTTGTGAGTTTAATCCTTGTACAGATGGGTACAAGGTTGATCTGAGCCCAAATCTATGAGAACTTGTTGCCTTGGTCATTGCCTATTTTCTGTAATATTGCTGGGATCTTGGGTCCTTGATTTGTAACAGTTGTGAATCGTGAAATATATAATTAAAATTGATTTTTTGCTTTAACTTATATTTCACTTCAGATTTTTAGCTGATTCAAAGAAATCGTTATTTGTAACCAAACTGAAATGAAATTGAAACTCGAGGCTTCGTTCGAAAAGGAAAAAAGTTCTATGAACTGAAATGAAACAGGAGAACTATTTTTACTTATCTTAAACCTCAAGCAACACAACAGTACTAAATTCAACAGTAAAAGTACTTAAATTGTAATAACATAAAACATCCCATTATTGATTATTCCCTAATAAATTATGAAAATCATTCTACTTAAATTCTAATAACATAAAACATCCCATTATTGATTATTCCCTAATAAATTATGAAAATCATTCTCCTGCTTTATCAAGTCTTGACCATTTCATCTTCTTCCTCAAATGCCGACACCGGAAAAATTTTGGAAATTCCAGCAGGAGTACCAAAAGTAATTTTTCCAGAACTGGGATCCTGAATGTGTATGTCAGAAATTGTGATCCAGATCAGAAGCTCCTTGCTCTTGACGCCTGTCAACTTTCTCATCCTACGATCCTCAACGAACGCCGTGACTTCTGTATCATACGATACACTGCGCCCAATTGCACGGAATTGGTGCACCTTGCTCTTCTTCTGCTTCACCCAAACGAATCCGGAGTTCTCGTTGTAGCCCACTTCCAGAATATCGTCTAAAGGGAGCAAGCCTTTTGGGAGGTTCATTTTCTCGAGTAGTTGGCGAGATTTTTGTTTGCATATCGCATCGCCGGTGTATATCTCAGCGTTTTCTCTGTGGGATGCGATTTGCTGTGACGACATTTTGAAGGGGAAGGGAAAATGGTTGTTTGGTTTTGTGCTTAATGAATTGATGGGGATTCTATGGGTTTGGCCGTTTGGGAGCGGCATATATATAGAGATACGAGGGAGGGAAATTTTTGGAGGAAAAAGGGCTAAAGGGTTTTAGGATGGGGATGGAATTTAATTGAAAAAGAACAAAATTAGTTGGAGGTTAAATATGAAAATAAAGAAGAGAAAAATGATAAATATCTTTATCCTTTAAAAGTTTCTCTATTTAAACAAATAATTTTTTGAAATTTTTGAAACAGATTTAGGATCTGTTTGATAGTGATTATAAGAATTAATTTTTTGATCATTAGAGAGAAAAGTGGATCTCACTTGTGAATGAAGAAATAAAAAATGACGGTTCCAATATTGAAATAATGGTAAAAAAAAATTAATTATTTGAGGTAAAAAATTGCTAACAAACAAGAGCCTAATAGTAACTTTTAAAAGAAATTTTTTATTTTTTCTAAAAAACCCGTCAAATGAACTCTTACTCTATAAACTTAAAGAAATGTCGTGTTACTCCGCATCTAATAGACTAATTGATTAGTAATTGAACGTGCCAAATGTACCTTCAAACCTAATATACAGACTCAGAAATATCAAGTTGCTCGCCCATCAACAAATGGTCGTGCAGTGGTTGAGATTTGAGAAGACTCCAACGTTATGCTAAGTAAAAATTAAATAAGATAAATTTTACATCAAATAAAAATAAAATAATTAACAATTTTTCTTAACAAGATTGACCTCTTTATTAAGAAATCTCAAATCTTAATGCCATTTCTTTTCTTTAACTTCTGAAGTTTGAAAATTGAAGACAAATAGGGAAGTGGATTAGGTTCATTTTTTATTCATGCGGTCCAATAGAAACTCAAGTTGTAGGTGATCTACCTTCCATGGTTACCCTCTTTAGTGGTTTAACTCAAAATTCCCATGTGATTAGGTAGGTAAGACATGTGTCACGAACTTGTACAATCTAAATTTTGCTTCCAAATATTTCTCGTCTTTGTTTATTTTTCGATTGTACCAACAATTTGCCATTATATTTGGACTGGTGACTTGCAATTTTGGGTTCCATTTTTATGCTTTCGTAAATATTGAATTGATTTCAATCGAGATGGCCTCGACTTCTTAAGAACTTTGCACAAGCTGTGAAGTGTGTGGTATAATTTGAATAACAACGCTTTGTCCAGTCGCGGAATTGATCACAAGATTGATTTCCAGGTCCACAAGAAAATTCAGTCACTAGAAATTTTATTTTAGAACAAATCCGTCAAATGCTAATATTTAAATTTGAGATTTGTTTGAGAAAATCCACACATGTTCACTTAATTGGCACATTTATTTTTTTGTTATTTTTATTTTTTGATTTCTAAAGATGTATTGTTACTCCTCGTACTAAGTTGGCCATCAAAAAGCAACACGAGGAAACCCCACTGACGTCATCAGAAGAGCCAGCCATAAGACACACAAAAAAGCGAAGCAATAAGTTTATGGAGGCTACAGAGCCGAAGTCCTTATTCCTACCGAGGTGCCACTCGATCGAGCCTATGCCGAGGCCCTGATGAAGGGTCCATGCCGAAGTCCCTATGTTCACCACTAGTCGAAGTTCTGAAAAAAGAGGACGAAGAGGCTGCCATATTTGTCGACCTGGTGAATATCTTTATGAAAGAATGATTGGACGTTTACTTTATCTCGTGTCAAGAATCTTAGTCTAGGAATTTAGGGCAGTTGACTCTTTGCCCTAGGAATTTAGGACGGTTGACTCTTTGCCAATATAATAAATGCATGTATAAGACGAATATGATGTATAGAAGAAGGAGGTAGGGGCACGTGTGTTTGAATCCAACGACCACCACATCATCCCTAAACTCCATAAATACCCTCCCATTATAGAAGAAAAAGAATAGATGTGTGGAACAATAAAAACAACACATATAGAGAAAAAAGGGAAGAAAGACGGAGAAAAAGAACGAGGAACGGGCATCCTAATTTTTGGCACATTTTTGGAGGAAAAAAATACAACTCCATACATTTTTGGCCATTTGATTGTGTCCATTTTTTAGTCTCTTTTATCATGTACTTGCAAAAGTTGTGATCGTGCATGGGCTAGAGTATTGTCACCCGTTAGCAGTTTCTCGGTCACTTTGTTGGTGTCTGAACTGTCTAGTCTTGTGTCGAATAAGCATCTCCTGAATTTATTCTTATGGCCGATCAAATCAATAATCTAAACTCAACAAAATTTGCTTGCGTAGACGTGAGTGGACCCGGCATCTGTTAGCTGGCCCCACTTTTGAGCGTCAACATGTATAATTGTTAGTCATAATGTGAGAACCTTCAACTATAATTTTGTAACTTTCTCACAATTTTCACTAACAATATTTATTATAAAATGTCGCGTTCTCCAAATGTGACCCTCATGTGATGCGTGAATTTGAATGGAGTAAATATGAAGTGTGATGCATGATGTTTAATTGACTAGTTATGAAGCGTGACGAAATAATAATTTAATTGCGGTGCGGTGCGGTGTGGTGTTAATAAAAATTGTAATGTTTTATGCTTGTTGCTTACGTCAAATGGGAAATCATCTACTAAAGAAAGGGAAAATTAATGAAATGATGATCGAAAAAAGTAATATAAAGAGTTTGTAGAATATATCGATTTTTATTTTTTATCATTGTTATTAAAACTGTTCAAATCCGATCGATTCGACCGGTGAAACCAAGAACCTGGTAGAAAGTCGGAGTGCGGTGCGGTGCGGTGCGGTGTGGTGTTAATAAAAATTGTAATGTTTTATGCTTGTTGCTTACGTCAAATGGGAAATCATCTACTAAAGAAAGGAAAATTAATTAAATGATGATCGAAAAAAGTAATATAAAGAGTTTATAGAATATATCAATTTTTATTTTTTATCATTGTTATTAAAACTGTTCAAATCCGATCGATTCGACCGGTGAAACCAAGAACCTGGTAGAAAGTCGGGCCGATTAGACAAAAAATTCATCCTTTAATATGCCACCGAAAAACCCCTTTGATCCATACGATTTTCTGAAAATTGTTGAGCCCATTCATTATTCGGGTTGATGTTTAATTTGATTTTTAAAATATTTCATTTTATACTTAAAAGTTAAAACTGTTCTCTGTCATATACAAAAATTCTTAGAAATGTGCTTATATAAATCAATTATTATCTCCGTCCCATAAATGTATATTTGATTTTTTTTTTCGTTTATTCCAAATTATAGGCTGCTTTTCTAATTTTAAGTATAGATATTTTTTAGTTTTTTAATATGTCTATATTTAATGTACCTTGTTATCAATAAATATAAACTAATCTTATTTAAACTATTATTTACTATGGAGATATCTTAGGAAAAATGTAAGAAAAATTTATATTTTGAACTATATTAATTTCATTTTCTTAATATACGTGAAAATGAAAACAATTCTATTTTTATGGGGTGAAAATAGTATAAAACAAGTGAAAACCCCATGCCCTCTAATTAATTATTTTGGGTCTGGTAAACTTTTCATTCCCATTTAAGCATTTGTTTTACAACCATTATTTAGGAAAAATAGAGTTTTGAATACTGATATTCAAAAGAATGAGTGATTAAAGAGTAGGAAATTTTTTTGAATTTATATATAAAATATTTTATTTTATGAATGTATAATTAAAAATTAGTATGTAAAAAAAGAGTTTAAAAATAATGATGGTCAATAAGTGATAAAATTTGTTAGCTTTTCATGTCAAAGGTTCCTAGCTAGCTAATAAACCCTTTTACACATCTCATTCTGTGCAAAAAATAAATAGAAATAAATCAGGTACAAAATCAGTCATGGGATTCACCCCACATTTTTAAAAGATACTTCTCACATATGCTACAACTACCATTGGCTAACAAATCAAAATTTGCCTTCTTCATCTTTGGCCCCACAATGGGCCCACCTGGTTTTAGATTATGCCTATATTCCACTGCCACTTGTTCAAAAACTTCAACATCAAACATGTTCAATTTTAGCCCTGGATTCATATGATCTCTCACAAATGCAAATGACAGTTGATCCCTTGGATTAAATGCTTCCAATTCATTGAATAAAAGGCAGGAGAAGAGATTCGTGACCATACCATGCTTCCTTAAGATTAAAGCACTATCCGGCACATCTGCAAAATGCATAAACGTATATGACATAATTAGCAAATTGAATAAGATGATACTAAATAGCATTGCAGAAGGAAAAAGTTGAATTTTTGTTCGTTCGTATGATAAAGCACATCAGCAAAATACAAAGATACACATGACATGTTCAATAAGAAGATTAGAAATTATTAGATAATATTAAAGAAAATTAAGTTCTTGTCTATTTTCTCCGATGGCGTTCGACGCTAGTCTATATTTGCAAAATATATAGACAATTATGATTTGTTGGGGAAAAGATTTAGATTGCCCTAAACACTATTTAAAAAAGAAAATAAACATAAACATCGTCCATTGTATTTGTATGTTCAATTCTATCATCTACTACTACAAGAAGGATATCCTAGAAGAATTGGAGCAACTTGCATATAATAATTTATCTTCTATTAAAAGTAATCTTTAAGAAAATTGGCGTAGTGATTATAAGCTTTAATAGCACAATCAATAATCTGGGGCCGACCATTAAGATTTGAGTTAGATTAAAAAGACACGTTAATTATCAGATTTAACATTTCTACTTAGTACATCATTGCAAGTATTGTCATAAGCTTTTGGAACAAGTCACCTCCATAAAGAAGTTTAGTGCATACATACTTATTGTGAAATTGAATGTTGCCAAAAGATTTTGTTTTAATTAAACTATTGACCCGCTTAACTAGGCTTTTAAAAAGTCAAACGGATAATTTTCTAAAAATATTTTGTCTAATTAGAAGAGCTTTTAGATGAAACTCGTTTATAAGAAGTAGAAAGAAAGGGAGAATAACTGCCAAATTGGCCCTATCTTTAGCACACTTTGCAAGCTATGGCTTTTCTAGAAGTGGCTTCAATAAATTTCACCTTGAATCAATAATCCCATTTGATTTTTGTCTACCAACTACAAAAAGGGATCACTATCCAACTGGCAAA